ACACACACACACACACACACACACACACACACACACACACACACCCTTAGGGCCCAGGGTGTTCACAGGCACCGAATATAAATGAGTTCTCTTGAAGCATGAATGAGTATAGAGGATAGAGGTCTCCCATCTACTCTCACTCTCAGTATCCTATTTACACACCCAATTCCTAATCCATATGTTTTCATAAAGGACAGTATTCAGTAATTTTAGAATATTATTTAAGATTAGTGATTGCTAAAGCTATTATTCTTTTATCATAAAATAAGTGCAGGCTTGGATATTTTCTGTCCTGTATTTGAACATCGAGTCTAAAATCCCCAACTCATCCTACTTCTCATCCCCTGCAAATGAACAACGATGCACACAATCAAAGGCACACACCAACACGTGAGAAAATTAAAGTTAACATTTATTGTTGGCATCCTCATTCTGAGCCATGTATCTAAGGAAACAGTGTAATTAATATGTGCACCAGTTCAGGAGTACTTTTCTCTGACTTATATATTCATAGCTAAAAAAATTATATAGTGGATGCTTACATTAGTGGAATGAAATTTGAAATATTAAAAGAACATTTTTAAAAAAGATATTTAAGAATATCATGACTTGGAAAAGAAAAATAATGTTTTAGATCTCATATTGTTTCAAATTTTCATATTAAAAATGAACAATGTCAAGAGTGGCATTTTTATTGAATTGTGTTATTGGTTAGCTCTCACTTTACAAAATATAGAAAATGCATTTTATATTTCTGAGTGGTTGAAAGTATTTTTTTAAAAATAAGTACTAACACAAAACCTTGTAAGTGCTACTAATTCCCACCCCCTTGGGCCATTTCCCTTTCTGTATGCTATACATCAGACCGTCCTGATAATATTAAGAAGGGCCATCTGACATTCTGAGGAAAAGTCCTGCTTTGCAAGTCATCAGCATCTTATTTCCAATGGGATCCATTAACAAGTATAATTGCACATTAACTCCTGAGTTAGTCAGACTGAGACTAATAATCAGTCATGAATCTTATCAGTGTTTTTTTTTAATAGATGTACAATTTCAGAATGCTAATTCAGGAAATACAGCTTCTCTAGGAATCCTTTAAAATCTATGTTGTTACTGCCATGGCTCAGGCCATCAATGGACATCTACCAACACTAGACAGTCGGTGTGATGGGGGCGGAGCACTTGGCCACCCATCCACAGGTGGAGCACTCTAGCCCATGTCCAGTGGCAAAGGGGAGAAAAGAAGGAAGGGAAGGGAAGGGAAGGGAAGGGGAAGGGGAAGGGGAAGGGGAAGGGAAAAGGAAGGGAAGAAGATGAGAGGAAGAGAGGAGGAAAGAAAGTCTTTGACAAATGTCATCCACCTGGAAAGAGTGAAGGCAGGAAACATAAGCATGCATATAATGATTTTATAATTTTATCTATCCAACCTTGAAAATAAAGGTTACAAACAGTTAAAAAGAATTGTTATAATTTTTGCCTCAGTTTGTAATAATTAATTTAAGTTCAGTGTTTGGCTCCTTATTTTTCAATTTATTTTAATAAATCTTTTTAGTACCTAATATGTGCCAGGCACTGTGGTTCAGTGATGGGAATATAAAGAGAAATAAGATGGGAAGGGGGTTATCGCTTTGTGAGGGGTGTAAAAGTCTTAACTAGTACGTTGCTTTGTATACCTGGAACTAATGAAAAGAAAAAAAAAAGAGCAATAAGACATGATCTGTGACTAGGGGAGTTACCAACCCCCAGGAAAGCCTTATTTTTATATAGGGAACAATACCTGGTAATTTAGCAGCACAGACCAGTGAGTGATTAATGAGGTGATATTTCAGTGAATGAGCCCAGCTAACATTCAGCACCACGTTTCAGTTTCAGACTTTCTTTGAAAGAGCCCCGTTACTTCTAAAAGCATAGAAAATATTCTACCCAAGTGTACCACCTCTGTCAACACCAAGTAGCTCTCTTGTTCATTTTTGTTGTGATTGATAGTTCATGACTCTTAATTATATTCACCATTGCTTTATGCCCAGATGTTTGGCATTGATAAGATTCTATCAAAAACATGTATGCACTGGGAAAAAATAATAACTTGATTGTCTCTCACCTATTAATATAGAAATCGGTAATGACACCCTGTAATTCTGTTTCTTAATTGAGTCTTCTAATAATTGATACTTGGGTAGGTACGCAAAATATTTTTCACCTGTTTGGAGACTAAAGGAAGAGAATTATTAGCAAAGTCTACTTAAGAACATTGCCTCAAGTAATTTCAAACTCGGAATAAAAGTGAAATGAAATGCATGCACTAAGATAACTTTAAGTCTTTAGGACCTTAAAATTACTAATTTTCCTTAGATACGTGAAAATCTGAAATATATAGCTTGCTCTGTTCAAATAAAGGAGTATCTTTATATGGTTATAGAAAATGTAATGTAGCAACTCTAAATGGTGAGTGAGGTAAGCAACACAGCTTCTCTGGATGACAGATACTAAGATATGGAGTATATTACCAATTTGACTTACATTTTGGTTTGTTTTCACAATAATATATTTAGAGAAGTCCTTTGGAAAACCTGTGCAGACTTGCTAAGGTATAGGAAAGTGTTGTCTCTCTCTCTCTCTCTCTCTCTCTCTCTCTCTCTCTCTCTCGTTCTCTCACTCTGTGTGTGTGTGTGTGTGCGCATATATATGTGTATATATATATATACACACACACACACACATACATATATAAACAAAAAGCAAAGGCCCACATTTTAACATATAAAATTATGAATGTGACACACTTTTTAATGTAAAATTATGAATTTGGATATTACATGAGCTATTGGGTTGTCGGGAAAGTCATGACACATTTTTGCAACAAAAAACAAAAAAAATATGTCATGACATTTCCGACAACCCAATATATTAACTATATTCACATTGCAATACAGACTCCTCCTATTCATTAAAAAAAGCATAGGAGGAAACGTTCATTGTCTGTCCTGAGTTTAATGACGTGTTATTGGGAGGTGTGTGGGAAATCTTGGACAATGAGAACATGTTCATGTCATGCCCTTGGAGAAGCAATGTAAACCATGCCTGATAAATTTTATGGAGCTTATTAAAGAATGTAGAGCAATGGCAACAATTTATGTGACCAGTTTTTTAAGAGCAAAAGCATATCCCTCGTTGTATTTAAACTGAGATGAGCAATGGGTGGAGCAAGTGTGCTCAGAGGTGGTTGATAGAAGGCGCTTTGAATTAAAAGATGTGTAATAGCCATATTTGCTATGCTTCATTAATGTCTGCAGATTGTGCTTTTTCTTAGAAAACAATTTTTGGAAAGAGAAAAACCAACCATTAACCCAAGCCTTTATTAAAACAACATAGTGTGAGAGCAGCTCTCAGATAAGTTTCTGTGGAGAGCAAGGAGCGTTAATATTTTATAGGACAGTTTGGGAAAATCAGAGTTCATACAAGAATTTGCCATGTACACTGTCTGAAAGCATGGGGGCACTTCTGTTGTGTTAGAAACAAGACGGGTTATAGGGGCAGCCAGCACAGAGGTGCAGGCGGGTTAGCAGCCATGGGCTGTATATTTTGGGTTTAGCAAGTGGGGTGGGGAGAAGTAGTTGGGACTCAGGTCTTGCAAGGGTCAATTGAACATTTTTAGACTCTCAAAGCTTCTCACAAAGTATTTCATATATGTGTCTTTAAAAATGTTTCCGAATTTCTACTTGACGCTCAGGGTTGTGTCTCATGCAGACTTTCCTGGATCTGTTTTCTGACTAAGATAGAAAGGCAAGTTTTGATCTCCTTTCTATGTTAACAGTATCCATGATGTTACTTTTGTTCTTTTTCACTTATAGGCTGGAGCCAATGTGCTTCTCCAGGATGTTAATGGAAATATCCCGTTGGACTATGCTGTAGAAGGGACAGAATCAAGCTCTATCCTGTTGACTTATCTGGATGAAAATGGTAGGTTGAACTTTGAAATACTGTAGAATGATAGATGAAGAGATAGCTTGGTAAAATTATAAGTGTGTTTATTTTTAGGTGTGCTTACATAATGTCATATTGATGTAGTTCCACACTAGATTGTGTGAACTCTAGTGTATTTTTCTATATTGCATTTCACTCTCCTGCTGCAATACAATGTTGCTTTAGTCAATGCAATTTTGTAAGCCAGCAAAAATCTAGAGGCCAACAATGAAGGAACTTTTTAACAAGCATCTAAAGTCTATAATTAGTGGGACTGGGCTTGTAATTATAATCCCTTCTCCACTGGGAGTGGAAGGGAAGTGAACCAGCACAATTGAAATTTTGAGTTAATAAGAGCGAGGTCATCTGAAGTGTATTATTCTCGTAGGAGCTGATGGTCCTCTTAAGAACTGCGTGCAGGTAAGTGAGGGCGTAAGTCAAGGGCAGCTTGCACAGACACTCAGCATCCACTCCGGGTAACACTAGGAAACAGAAATGTCAGAAGAATGCCCCATGATCGTGGTGCTGGCCTAAAAGGATGAGGCTCAGGCCCCAAATGTATTCAGTGACAAAAGTATGTTTAATTGCACTGACACAGCATATAATTTCATGAGTAAGCCTAGCATTGGTGAAGTGGGACGTATTTGAAACCTTGAGCCTGATGCCGTGTTAAACTAAAGGAGTGTGCTCCTTCTGCTTTTTTTTTTTTCTTTCTGCTGTTCCAGTATTAAATAACAATAATGGAATTCCAATCCCTTCCAGTATGATTTTTTGTCAGGGAAAACGTTGAAAAATTTTAAGAGCCACATCTTGCTTGTGATACTACCCTTCTTGCCTCTAAGAAAAGCCCATAGTTCTCGGCCTCTTTGTTCCCTGTGCTTTGCCTCCTCCAGATTAGTTGCATCAAAAGGTTTATTCTGAGGATAGCTGAGAATAATAGTAATTAGTACTTAGCAGCCATGAGTTCCTAGAAAAAAAAAAGTCATTAATTTTGGAAGCAAGGTAAGTACCATTATTTTCACTAGAGAAGATGTGCTGAGCTGTGCTACTGAAGTTCGTGGAGTCATGGCCTGGGTGACAGGAGCAGCCTGGGGTCAGGCTGTGTGGTCATCTCCTCTCCCTCACTCCTTGTACCCGCTGCTAGGTGAGGAATCATGTCTCTCTTCACACCTTGTCAGCTGTAAGGCAGGTTCCATGATTTCTAAAGGAATGAGCTTGGTTATGCACATTCCACTGTTGGAAGTTTATTATTTAGACATCGGCAAAACTTGACTTGTAATCGCATGATTCCACATTGGCATGAAGAACTCGACTGCCTTTTATTTAGCTGTGCCAGTTCTATGTGATGACTTCCTGTTCTTACTGTTCTGAATTTCTACTAGCCACCGTATTAAATATTTCCCTTGGGAAACTAAAACTAAGTATCTTTATTTGCAAAAAAAAAAAATTAACATTACTTATAAACCTTTCCAACTCTTTAAAGGATTTTGTTTGATAAGAAGTTTTAGTATTTGCAAAAGCAGTATTGTCTATCCTATCTAAGTAAAAATAAGTGTATTCCTTTGAGAGGTTGCTTTAAAAATGATTACGAAAAAAAAAAGAGAGGAAGATACTGACTCTGAATGGTTGGGAGAAAATCTGTCACAGTGATGGTTGTCACAGTCAGTTTGTAAAATACACGTTTGCTGGAACAAATTCGATGTAATACCTCTTACATTTTTAATCCTCTTTTCCATGTGTCACCACTATTGCCCTGGCCTCTGCCTTCCATGCATCTGCCCCCTCCATCCCCTCATTCATAATCTGGTTCCGTTTCTGCCAGTGTCTCTCCTACTAATCTGTATGGACAGCCACAGTTCCAGTAAATACTATCTAATTCAATTTATTCTCTGGCCCCCTGGTTGGTGTACTTTCAGAGTTATCTACTGTGACAGTGTGGGCTGATGTCCTCAGAAATTTCTAATATTCCAAGATGAGAATTTTCTTTTTATTGGGCACTCACTATTTCAGCGTTGCATTCTTATAACGAGGTGGTTGCAATCCTTGGATTTTCACTCCGCATCATACAGTTTCAAATCAGAGTACTTATCATGCTGTCACATCAGGATGCATGTGGCAGGAGGCTCAGGAGAGGTGGTGAGCAACTTGATTACATGGAAAATCGCTGGTCCCAAGTTCTAATTGTACTGTCACCGCCGACATACACTGTACACCCGGGCACAGCAATTAACCTCGGCTCACCGCCTGAGCTTTCCAGGCTGGAAAATGAGACAACCACGGAGGGCTGATTGAGCATTTGATGCATATTGTATCTCTCGTGCAGGGCAAACCAGCTGGCGTTCAAGGAAGGCAATTGATTATAAAATGAGCCAGCAAAGAAGTAAGGCGCTGCTGGGAGAGCTCAAGGTGGCCCAGGATAGATAGGTGCTCACCATGGGGAAAAAATATATACATTTCTAGTTTTTCCAAGTCCCTGAAAAATAAATAAAACAAAAACTTTGCTCATCATGCACCGTCCTCCACTGCCTTTTCTCCTTCATTTCCAATCCATCCTTTTAGAACACGTAGCTCACGTTTATTCTCCAGAGTTCCTAATCCCCTCTCCTCAGCCTACTGAAGCTTGGCTTGTGCCCCTACCGATCCGCTGAGAAGGAAGGTCCTTGGGGAGTGCCCCTACCCACTCCTTGGTTTTCCATCCAGTCGTCACTTTGTTCTCCTGCATGATCTCATGTCTCTGTGACAGTTTGATCACTTTGATCATCACGCTCTGTTATGAAAACTCAGTCATCTGCAATGATCTTCCCCTAGTTTTCCTCCCTTCTCTTCGGGCTTCGACTTAGTTTCCTCTGGAGGTGCCACTTGTACATTCACACCCCGAAATGTTGGTGGTTCCCGGGGCTTTGTCTCTCAGTACCTTCTTTTATCACTTTAAACTCTCCTGGTTTATCGCCCCCCTGTGTCTGGTGTGGTCACCACATGCCTGCGTCCAAGAACATTCCTGCAGCTTGGGTAGCTTTCAAGACCTTCAGCCTTATGGGTGCGATTTTATTAAGCATTTTGACTTGGATATCAGACAGTTTGAAATTATGTGTCCAATATGGAACTTACTGCCGTCTTTTCATAGTCCAGCTATATTCCATTTTACTATAACAGCCAGGGACCCAAGTATCTGACATCCCTTTTCTTCTCCTAAATTCCTCACATTAAATCGTCACCAAATCTTACAGATTCTGCCTTCTTGACATTTCGCTGATAAGTCCACATCCCTCACCAATCTTTCTATTACTGCCTTAGTTAAAACCCTGGTCTTTCTATTTTGGAACAGCCTCGAAACTGGTCTTGTTGCCTCTGGTCTTAGCCTTCCCTATTTATTCTTCAGAGGACTCCCAGGTTAATCAGTCCACATGATCTTGTGTATTTCTTCTGTTTAATAAAGTTCATTCAGAATGCTGCCCCTGCACCAACCTTTTGAGAATCACCCAGTGTTAGGGTGATAGTGCATCCCAGTTTGCCTGGGTTGTTCCCACGTTATGCCTGTGGTCAGGGTTGGGGGACGGGTTTGGGGAGAGGGTTTTAGTCCACTCTTGGCTTGAACATTTATTTCTCTTTGCTGGAACCAACTTTCTTTATTTGCCTGCTCAATTTTTTTGTTTCCTTCAAGTCTTGGATCTCTTAGGAAGCTTACTGTGAGGCAAAAATTGGGGTTAGATGCACTTCTGGGAGCTTATTAGAGAATCTTGTGCTGAAATCATGGGATGGGTCATTTCATAGTCAGCGTAATGATAAAATTATCTAGAACAGCAGCATGGAGTACCTCCAATACAGATGGATAATAGAATAAAGGAAAAGTTGAAGTGTTACCAAAGCAGTCTCATCTTAAGAGGGACCGTTAAGGAAAGTTAAGGTAAGGTTCCGATTGACCTGAGGTGTTAATGCAGTTTCGGTTTTGCACAGGCATCTGTTGATATCATCAGATGTAATCAGGCAATAGTAATTAGTATCACATATAATAATTCATAAATGTCAGATAAATTTTATTGTTTCTTATTTCCTAAAGTAAAAAAAAAATTTGCCAAGTTCCTATAAAAATAATAAATCTAAGTAGGAATTCTATTAATTTTTTTCAGAAAATAGTGTGAAAATAAAATTTAATTTCTTTTCAAAAAACAGAGAATTATCCCATGATTCATTATGAAATACTTATTATGAGCTATAAGCGTCTTGGTTTTTTCCAGGTGCACCTTAAGACATTTGTCTGACTAAGAAAAGAGAGACTTTCCATTTTATTCTATTACTAAAAATAAACTTGTGCTGTTTTTTTCTGAACATATAACAAAAAATCTAAAAATCACATTTATATACTATCTTATTTGATACAAAATTATGTTTTAAAATAATAGAATATAATGTCATAATATTCCCCTCTGATATCTTCATAGCAGTGACCAGAAATAGATGGTTTTCCCATATGTTGTATTGTAAATGAGTCTGAAATGAGTGATATCTAAGCTTTGTTTGCAGTTGTGTCTTTCATCGTTGACCTCTATTCTTTTATTTTCACTCAGTTTTAATTATGTGCTTAAATAATTATCTAAAAGATACATATCATCACTCCAGTAAACATTGCAACACTATAAAAGTTTGCAGGGTAATGTAAGCTTAGAGTGGGGTCATGTAGCCATTGGATTCTTCTACTTTAATGTGCAAAATTGAACACTGACATCTGAGAAGTATTTTCCAAAATTAACTCGTGTCAATCCCATAATACTAAAAATAAGAATATAGTAATAGTTTTAGTTGATTCTTAAAAAATCTCAAATGTGACTATTAGGGAAATGTGTTAATTCTTCTGAAATAAGATACAATGATTCAGAAGTTAAGGTGGATAATGGCGTTCCTTTTCCACTTTCTACAAAATTGGTTTTGTTTCTACAAAAATTGAGTATCTGAAACAAGTTACATTATTTAAATATCACATTTTGCTTTATTTTGCTTGGGTCCTCCCTGCCTTCTTATTGCAAAGAAAGACGCTCCTAAATGAATGGCATGTACTTCATGTACCAGGACACTGACAAATATGATAGCTCACTTTTACTGAATGCTTACAGCAAGCTAAACACTGTTTTATATGCTTTGTGTGTTTTAGCTCATTCTCGTAACAACTAGGGATTTAAGAACTATCAGCCCCATTTTGCAGATGTAGAAACTGAGGCAGAGATTAAGTTATCTGCCCCATTGGCACAAATAGTAAGTACAAGACACAGCACTAAAACCAAGGCGTGCTGACTCCTGAGTACCTATGCTCATGTCCATCCAGGCTCAGAGAATGAGCAATGCAGGGAGGCAGATGTGCTGTGCTCTAAGGGAAAATGACAACAGATAACGTGACATGATAATATGTTCTCTACCATGTAAACAGATCTTATACGTATTACCTATAGCTGCATTCCTTTGGGATGTATGTTATTGTCTGAGTGATTGAGAATACAGAAGCCCAGACAGGTTAGATAATTTGTCTTAAGTCACCTGAGGAAGTCAACCACAGACCGGGCACAGCCAGGAGGATCACTCGTGTTTGTGCCATGCTCTCTGTCCATGTTTGCAGTAAGGGCTCAATCAAATAAGAGATAGGAATGTCTCTTATGAGTGACTGGTTCATCACAAACACTTGCTGAGAGAGCAATATCATCATCCTCATCATTGTTACTATTACTTTCACTTGGAATAAGGTAAATTCTCTCCCCTTAGTAAATCCTATTATGTCCAGGAACCAATGCTAGGAATAGGGGATGCAGAAATGAAGGGCTACAAGCTGCCATGGAGATTGCACTATCATGAAAGCTGGGGTTAAAACAAGTGCTTATACAGGTGTAAACAGGAAGTGAGCAGAGGTGAGCCTTCAATGCATAACCACCCACCTCCATTAAGTTCGGCTATCAGTTCTTCACTCAATGTTAATGTTTCATTTTTAACATGAATAGTCAAGAAATGTTCAGTTGGGGTATCCTTTTAAAGCAATTTATTTTGAAAACATTCAGATATACAGGAAAGTTGCAAAGATAGAACAGAGTTTCCGTATACCCTTCCTCTAACACTGACAGTTTACACAGCCGTGGTACAGTTATCCAAACTAAGAAATTCACTTTGACACCATATGATTAACTAAACTGCAGACTTTATTGAGATTCTTCCAGTTTTTGCATGAAAGTCTTTTTTTTTCTATTCCAGGATACTACATTGTTTTTAGGAGCAACTGTTTTGGCCAGAAAATCATAAAGAGTAAAAACTATATCTTTATAACTTGTTTCAATTCGGTTTAAGTACTTTAAAATACTTTGGATGATGCATGTGAATTTATACTAAAGCAGTTATCCATTGAGAAGCTGACATATAAGGTATCCTGTCACATCTCAGGGGAAAATTATTCAAGACTATACTCTAGCTGGAAATCGAATACCTCCAAGAGAAACAATTATAGTACTTCGAGAGAGAATTCAAATTGGAAGTGGGGCTTCAAAGAGGAACATATTCAAAGAATATATGATAAAACTGTTTACCCCAGCAGCTGAGAAGCACCTCTGCGTTCTGTTTGACAGTCTCTGTTCCTCCTAGGAGTGGATCTGACCTCACTGCGCCAGATGAAGCTTCAGAGACCAATGAATATGTTAACAGACGTCAAACACTTCTTGTCATGTGGGGGAAATGTTAACGAGAAAAATGATGAAGGAGTAACACTGGTGAGTTGAGATACTTGACTCAGAAATATAGCTTAAATGGAGAATTTAAGTTTATTTTTAAACTATAGAAATGGGTGTAATTAACATAAATAACATCTTATTTTCTGCTCATAAAAGTAATGTATATTCTTTGTACAGATTTTAGAAAACACATAAATATGCAGAGGAAAATGCAAATCACTTATGCTACTACCCAGAAAAGCCAATGTTTATATGTTGATATATTTTCTTCCAGTCTCCCTTCTTATGTATGTTTTTCTACAAATTTAGAAGATTTTTTATGCATTCCTATGTCAGTGTGATTTGTGAGATGAACTTATAGGAGAATGTTTTTATTTTAATTTTAAGCAAAACAAACGATGGGTTAGTCTGTTCAATGAATTTCTAAATTCAAGGGAATGCCTTTCATTACTTTATTTTTTTATTGCTATCAGGCATAGCTGTAGTCAGTTAAAAGCAGAACGATTAAATTTGGATTAATGTTTGTTTAAGCATAATGTTCAAACATCAAAATAAGAACATTTGTCCCAGCTGACCCATAAAATTTACCTAGACTGGGCACGCTGGGGTTAAAATTAATTATGGTGGTAATATCAAGGCTCAGGGAGCAAAAATGAAAGTAGACTAGGGCAGCAGAAGAGAGTACGACACTCTGAAGCATGGGATGTACAGAAGGGGTTGGAACCAGTGACTCAGTTTCTACCACGGAAAAAATGTGGTGTGAAGTTGAACACAGTAGATTTCAGACTGAACAGTGGAAAGTGCAGTGGCTCTATGGCAGAGCCAGGTGTGGTGTGATTGAGAAATAGCAAGGAGGCCAGTTTGGCTGAGCAGGGTAAAGGAGAAGAAAGTGGTAACTAGGATCAGATCATGCAGGGTCCTATGGGCCTGTGTGAGGATCGTGGCAGCTACTCTGAGTGAGACGGGAACACACTGGAGGGTTCTGAAGAGAGGCGGGACCTGATTCTACTTCAGTTCTAAAAAGATCACTCCCATGACTGCTGTAAGGATCGACTGTAAAAGGGCAAGGGTGTAGCTGAGAGTTCAGTTAGGAGGCTTTTCCAGTATTCTAGGCAAGCGATGGTAATAGAAGACATAGGTGATAGAAGACATAGGTGATAGAAGTTGAGGTGGTGAGAAGTTGCTAATCTTGGTCTACATTAAAGGAAGATCCATTGCAATTTGCTGATGGAAATGAGGTGTGAGAGAAAGAAAAGACTTCAAAATGGCTCCAAGTATTTTAGCTTGAACAGCTGGAGTGATGGCGTTAGCATCAAATCAGATAGAGAAGGCCAAGGACTGAGTTTTGAGCAGGAAAGATGAGGATCAGTTTTGGAAATGCAGAGTTCGAAGTGCCTCTTAGCCATCTTCATGGCAATGTTGAGTTTGTGGTTGGATATTGAAGTCTGAACCTCAGGAGATGTCTAGACTGAAGGAACAATTTTGAACAACTTTGGGAACATTAGCATATGAGTGATAGTGAAAATTCTTTACGCTGGATGAAATCAGGAGTTTGATACAGAAGGAAAGAGGATTTGGGACTGCGCCTTGGAGCTTAGGAAGACGAAGAAAATCCAGAAATGAGGTGGGAAGGAGCAACTCCCAAGGTAAGAGGGAAACCAAGAGAAAGAGATGTCCTGGGAGCTAAGTGAATGAAGTGTGATGATGAGGAGGAAAGGATAGGCTATTAAATACTGCTGAAAGGTCAAGTGAATGGAGATGGCAAATTGGCTATTGGACTTGGTAACATGGAGGTCATTGGTCTTCTCAGCTAGGGTAGTTGCAGTGGAGTGATGGGGTCAAAATCCAGCTTGGAGTGGACTATTTAATTAGTAGTTCATTTAACACATGTAAAGTACTAACATCTAACACATACTAGAAACCCAACAGAGGCTTTGTTTCTTTGTTTGGAAAAAGGTATTACAACTTTATATACTTTTTAAAATCACTGTTAAATAAAACTAATGTTCATGCTTCAATCATTGTTGAATAAAAGGACCTACCATACTTCAGTCGAAAAGGTACTGAAATAATCAATATGAAGCAATAGATTGTGTCATTTTCAACCATCTTCAATTTTGATGATCCTTGTGACTTTTTTTTATTGAACAGAGGGCATAAGTGTTGTTAATAATTGTTCTGTAATAACTAAATCTTGTGATGCTCACCTGTGAGCTTTTTGTAAGAAAAGTAACAATGAATGGAAAGCTGGGAAGATGCCCCTTGGATATAGAGCATTTAGCAAGTGGTTGTTTGGATTGATTCTTAGGTCTAAATTGGTTAGTCAATTATGTTACTGACTGCCATCTCTGGAATTGTCTTTTTGTAAGGCACATGTGTATTGTGCATTTCTGTCTATTGTTGGTGATAACATAAGCAGACGATTTTGTTCTTAGAACGATTTCTATCTCCTGAGTTGGAATGTCAGTTGTGGTACAAAATTAGACATAATTTCCCACACTGTTAAATCGTTGTGCAAAGGAGATGAAATTATCAACAAAAGGCTGAATGGGAATAAATTTCTAGTACAATGGTTTTTATGTTCTCTTTTCCTCCTTTTATAGAATATGCAATAAAATAACCAAATATAGCTCTTTAAAAAAGATCTCTTAGTTTACATATTAATATTCTTCTTAAAAGAAAACAGACCTTAAAAGGATACAATTAAAAAAAAAAGCCACATTACAGAACATGAACTGGAGTTCCTGAGTTTAAGTGTATAAATGCTCTTGGAAAATACTACTGTAATAATTAGCATATGTATCACAAAAGGCTGATTCTTTACTGTTTTATCACAGAACTTTATGTAGCCCATCTGGCCTTGCGACATGGATTTTTGGAAAAGAATTATTCATGAGATGTAACTATCAAACAATTTTATTTGTGTGTCTTTTGTTATTTTAGTAGTTCTGGTTCATCTCTTCCTTCTGGATGAAGACTTAGCTAGTGCCATCAGTTTTATGGTCATATTTAGGGAATGCAGCTTTTATGGTTACTTTATGTCACAAAACATAGCCTCAATTTAGAGATTAGAATGTCTGAACCCAGGTAATACTGAAAACTCCCAACTTGCATAAAATCAAAGCTCATTGGTCATTATATGCCATACTCTTCTTTAACCACACGATGTAGCCCATGAATCCCTCGTCAGCATAATATTTTTAAGTAATAAAAAATGGTACCTAGAATTACAAAGAAAGCCAGTTATGTTGAAATACGGTAATCATAATATTGAAATTACATTTGTGATATGTAATGCTTGTGCTTCTTTATTAGTTAATGCAGTAAGTAACAGATTTGATAATTACCAAAATTTTACAGTAGAGTTGAACATGGGCGATACTTGGAGTGATCTGCTATGGCAGTGCTGTCATGGGAAAAATCGTCAATTCTTCTGATAATATCATGGCGGTACTGCCTTTTCGTCTTTGAAGAATTTGCTAAATTTCAGTTAGGAGTTAGAAAAAAATAAAAGTAAGCATTTTCCCACTCCGGTTTGCAAGACCCCTGAAATCTATCTACAGATCCTGTGGGGCGCTTTGAATATGCCCCGGTGTGAAGTACCCCGATTTCAGTGAAATCTTGATCATACTCCTGGTGTAGTGCTTCCTCAAATGAAGAAGTCCATAAAAGGGAGGGTGGACGTGGTCAGCTATTTGCCTCCTGCCACTTCTCTTCCTCTTTGGGGTTTCTGAAATTGAAGATTGGGATGAGAGTAGGAGACAGACATATGGGCAGGAAGAGACGAAGCTGAGGCCTGTTACCTCTTTACTATTGTGATGTTCTTTTAAACCTTCCTTTTGCAGGAAAACATCGTGTAGTCATATAGAAGCATCGTAATTTACCTGAGCCATTCCTGAGTATTTGCCATTTTTTGATATTATAGAAAACTTTTTGTTGATAGTCATTGTACATGCCTCTCTGATATTTCTTCTGATACATTCCTACAAATGGAATTCTGATTGTAAAATAATGAACATATTTTCAAGTTATTGATGCATGTCATTACACTAGGTTCCAGTATTATGTGGGGATACTCATTTTCATAGATCCTTAGTTTTTCTATTCCTCACAATTTTTTATGTCTAAAATTATTGCAAATAATTTGCATTATTTAATTTCCAGCAGTGGGTCTGTTTTCATGTATTTATAGGGTAGTTGTATTTTTTTCTTTTGTAAATTGACTCTCAGTTTACTTGTTTAATATTTATTGAGATGGTCACCTTTTTTATTAATCTCTATGAACTCTGTATACTTTAAAGATATTAACATTTTGAGATACCTGTTGCAAATGTTGCTCCTGGTTTATTATCTGCCTCTTAATTTTGCTCATTGTTCAATGCATACATTTTAAATTTAATTTGTTGGTACCTATCACTTCCTAGATGTGAATTTTGCTGGATTCTTAAACTTTCTAAGTCATAATTTTCTCCTCCTTTAAATTGGAATAATAATAGCTCCTACATTGCAAGATAAGCAGGTCTTACAAGACTATGCATCTAAATTGCTGAACCTGTGGTTTAGTTGGTACATCAAGAGCACTTAATAAAAGTTAGCCATTATGTGATCAAAGCATATTATAGCATGGAAAATATTCAATATATTTAGGTAAAATTAACTTTAAATGAGCAAGTACATAATGATTCTAATTTTGTAAAAGAAGTGGCATGTGTATGTATTATTACATAAAAATAAATCACCAGAATGTCAAAAGGAATTATCAGGAAATGTCAGTATAATTTTGTTTCTTTTTATATTTTATACATTTCAAAAATTGCAGGATAAATAAATACAAACTAATTTATAATTAGAAAAAACATCTCTGGATTTTACTTGAACAGATCCTTGATAGGGACCTAGAACACGTCACTGCTGAAACGAGCCAGCTCCATCAGGGCATGCATTTCTGGATGAGTGTTCTGTGTGGGTTAAATCTATCCAGAGCAATCAGTGCCACTCACTGAGAACCAACATTTAGAACATAACCATTGATACTTATTTTTATTTTTAGAACTATTGTTGGAGTACTATTTTACAATATTAGAACTATTATTTATTTGGGAAAATTAATTTGAAACCTCTAACTTTAGAAAAAGATCAGTAGTCTATGTTAAATTTTCTAGCAATTAAAGCTGTCATTGAATGAATTATAAAGTACCTGCCAAAGTGTGAGATGAGGTGGTATGAAATATTGGGTTGTCGGGAAAGTCATGATGTATTTTTTTCTATGTTTTTTGTTGCAAAAATGCGTCATGACTTTTCCAACAACCCAGTAGATACGATGTTGTGAGCTGTGACCTGATGCAGTAGCAAGAGGATCCAGTAAGATGTACTCACGACCCTGTTCCCTGTCTGCACCCAGGCCTGTCTCACTACTTGTATGAAGAGGCAGTGTTACAGAGGATCCTGGCTGGGTGGGCTTTCAGACTTCTGACTGGAGTCTGAGGCTCTTGTTTTCATATGTGAAAAATGCCAGGACCTAATGATGGTTTTGCAAATTATGCAAGAAGGCGATAAGCCAAGCTTAGCAAACACGGCTGTGCCTGCCTGCATGGGTGCTGTGCCAAGGGAAAACCAAAGCAAGTGTGTAAATAGTGTGCATCTTCTAGAGACAAACATTTTAATACAAGATTAGTATGTGGGGAAGAGGTGGGTTGCATGAAGAAGAAAAATTGTGTATTAAAGCAAATAAATTATGGGGCAAATTCAAGGTTTGTTAGGAACGTTCATATTGCAGTGTTATCCTTGTAGCCTGGCCAACTTGGATGTCCACTCTTCTTTGCTATTTCAAAACATCAGTTCTGGAGAGTGCAGGAGAAAGTGGTTTCAGACCACAGTGGCCATGCTTCCCTGGACCAAGTTACCTCGATGATCGAATGCACATTTTCTCCAGCTGTAAAAGCAGGATGATAACTGTATCGCAGATAGTACAGAATAGAAGAACTAATTTAAAACTTGTATGCATATTGTTTGTGAAACCACTCTTACGTCTTGTCCTGCATTGTAACTAGGTAGGTGATTTCCAACTTGGAATACTTTTTCATGAGAACTGTGCTTCCAAATGGCTGCTGTCAGTTCTTTACAGAAACAACCACCTCTGTTTCTCATAAGATCCCATTAAATAGCAGGAGAGGAATATTCTGAGACATCACAGTGATAAACACTTTCACATTTTGGCACCTGATATCTTCCAGCCATAATCTGGACAAAGTGGGAGTATAAATTCCATTTCAGAAAATAGACATTTTTTTTATTGTGTGTATTTTTTAACTCTAAGTCTAATTTTAATGATGAGAAACTACACCCCCTGGAGCCTGGTGACTTGTTTACAGATTCAGAAGTTGATTGCCTGCGAATTAAAGTAAAGGCTCTAGGCTCCCGATATTTTATTATGATGAGTTTAAAAAATTCTGTTATCTCTTGTGATGAAGTGGATGCACTCAAAGTTAGGGGTTCTTGTTTTGGGTTTGAAGATTTCCTAGGATGAAATGTGCCCGTCTCCATAGATGTCACCGGTAGCCTGTGCTTTGGATAGCCTTTCTACTGAGCAAGCCACTACCATTTTCCTTCTAGTCTTTCCCTTGTGAGCAGTGCATGAGATGACTGGCTGAGAGTTGGGCTAAATTTTAAATGGTGGAACCCGATTTTTGCTGCATGGAAAGTAAATCTATTCATAAAGGGGTTGATCCTATGAATTTGACATCATTAGTATCAAGTGCTAACCAACTAATAGACATATTCTTAATGCAGGTTTATACTAAAAGGGAAAATCTTCTGAGATGTAGATGTTAGTGCTTATAGCATAGAGTAACCTTTCAAACATTGACTCAAATAATTGATTCAAGTAATGTAGAATAAATTTAGAAGCAGGTGAAAGATTAGTTCTCTAGGAGAACAAGTGTATACAATTGTATTTCTCTTAAATATCTGTGGATATATTATTCTTGCGGCTTTTTTTCTAGACTATTAATGAGATCAATTCTGTATGTAACAAAACATGGGTAGAAGTCAAACTTAATCTCTTAATGTTTATGCCCTAAATTAGATGAATTTATTGTTCTAATGAAAGTACAAGAAATAAACATATAATTATCAGTATAGATTGAAGAGTGTTAAGTCCAAAGGTAGAAAAGCAAATGTTTTTGCTGAATTTTATCAACATGCATATATATAAACAGATATATAGATATAGATATAGATATAGATATATATAGATGTGTATATCTATGTCTATATATTTAATAAGACTTTTTTACTTTACTGTAATTTTATTTACTTTTTTTTAAGATTTTTTTTTAATTGGGGAATTGGGATGGGAACAGTGCTGGGGAATTGGGGGAAGGGGAACAGACAAGTTGCTGTCCTTTTGTTCTTCAGTCTAGTTGTGGAGGACATTGCTTCACTGGCCCAAGTTGGCACCATCATTGCGCTCTTCCCGGGCGAGGCAGATCAGTCGCCGGCTTCTGGACGGCCGCTCACTGCGGCTGCTGGCCGCTCACGCTGGCTGCTGGCTACATACGGTAGCCCATGGCAACCCACTGCCACAGGGGCTGCAGCCTACGCCGTCGCCGGCGACTCACAGCAGCCCAGCTCCAGGTTGAGCTGTTGTTCAGCATCTTAGCTGTAGAGGGCAGTGTCACTGGCCCTCATATGTGGGATCCGAACCGGGGCCTTCTGGCATCCCAAGCCAGTTCTTAACCAACGTGCCACTCGGCCGGCCCTGTAATTTTATTTTTGTAGCAAAAATGGAAAGGAAGATACAAAATTCCATGCTACAAAAGCAGAAGCTATTGTTTTTACTATTTTTAAATTAGTTTTTCTTTCTTTGTATTTTCCTCTTCTTAATTATGATTACAAAATCAATCATGTAGTTAGTTAATAACCTAATTTAAACTGAGTTTGCTGATAGTTTATTTACTCACATATTTTATTTGCTGCCTTAGAAACAGGAATTCCCCTATCTGAAAAATTTGGAAGATTCTCCATCCCTGATCTCATCATTGTAGTTCCTGAAGCCTCACTTGTAAACTTCAGGTTGCATTAAGAAACTAAACTGGAGAATGTGTAAATGATGGCTACATAATCGCTTTAAAGACTGTCCAGATTAATTCATCCTTTCTGGTGTTCCTGCCCCTTTTATGTGTATATAAACATCACAGTGATCACATTTCTTGTCATTTATATCTTTGAATCCCTCTCCTGTAACACCAAATATAATGCCGGAATTTTACAACTAGTCAATACATGTTTGACTTTTGGGTAAGAAGTGGTAAAGTATTGAATTATTACATTTTGTATTTAAAAGTATTCGGATTATAGTAGAAAGGGTCACTGGAGACGGAAATAGGAATTACATGAAAAAATGCACAGTCAGAAGGAAAATGATAATTAACCCATACACCTTTTTAAAAAAAATGATGACATTCACATGTACCAAATAAATAAAATTACATGTATACTCCTTTTATTAAAGGACTCTGTGTTTTAGATTCAATAGTTCATTAAGTAGCTCCCTTTAAACCACTGTATTGATATTCTTACTTTTTAAAGATGAATAACAAAATATCTCTTTGTTACAGTTACATATGGCATGTGCAAGTGGCTACAAGGAGGTGGTATCACTTCTCCTGGAACACGGTGGAGACCTCAATATAGTAGATAATCAGTACTGGACCCCGCTCCATTTGGCAGCAAAATATGGCCAGGTAAAGTGATTTCCTGAATTATTTTTTAAAAATCATTTTATAATCGGTGCATTGTTTTATGTTTAATTTTGTTTTTATTTCAAATCATGTACTAATCATTATGTAATTTGACCTTTTTTTGCTTTTTAAAATTTATTTTTAATTGCAGTTGACATACAATTTTGTATTGGTTTCAGCTGTACAACATAGTTATTAGATATTTATATACTTTACAAAGCGATCACCCTATAAGTGTAATTTGTCTTTTAATGGCATCGTCTTATTAAACATTTTGTAATGATTGAAATAAAACATTTACTTTTAGAAGGACACATAGTAGCATACATTCCTCAGGACTCTGTACATTGTAGTCAGAATCATTGGAGAAATAATGAAAACTTATGAACATTCTTTATAATATGGACTTAATGAAATTCCCTTCATTTTATATGGTCCGTATGAGCTCACTATTTCATGAGTCTGTAATAATTTTGTTTTCTACAGTTAGTAAATATAAAGCAAAATTACATTTTATATTTTGTTTTTCTCTATAAATTACATTTCATTTTAATGAATGAAGAATGGGTAGCAGAATTTTTTCTTTGAATTGATTTTTGGCTATAGCTCATACATCTTGAGTTACTATTGCACAATTTAATTTCTCAGTAGGTACCATTATATCGTAAAGAAGGAACAAACTCTTAACTTTTAAGTTATTTGCATTGGTGAATGTGACAGCATAGTTAACAGTAATTCATTAATATTAAAATCAATTCATAAAAATTTGTGTAAAATTTTATGGTAGAGAAAGACTTAGTAGTAATAATATGAAAAATAACTCAGTTTTACTTATATATATATGGAGATATATATGGAGATTTAGGCTAAACTTGTTGATTTCCACATGTTAGTGTGAGGTAACAACATGCTCATTGAATTTATAGTAAGTTAAATCCCTTAGATACTAACCAGTATGCAAAATAATCTGTCATAAAATTTGAGTCGTGCAATTGTTGAAAGAATTGGAAGCATTTTCATTTCAAGCATTTCAGAAAAAAACACTTTGCTTGGGGAAGGTCTTTAGACTAATAAAAACATGGTTTTCTTTCATGGCATTTTGTGTAAGAAAAGATTTAATCATTCAGTAAATATTTTTAACAGACTATTAACAAACCCCAAACTGTGTTTTTGGCAAGTGAGTGTGTGTGTGTAATAAATGAATGGGTTAAGGTGATGAGGCTGCAGAAGTCACTGGCCTCAGTGGTTCACGGTTTCCAGGTCCCACTAGACCCCTGGAGTATTGGAGGATCCATTCTCCCGTACTCCATTTCTAGCACAGCAAGTCTGGATATACTGAGTGAAAAGTTTTCTCATTAGTTAAAAACAGAGAAGCAAACATAAACGAGTACTGTTTCCTAGAACACAAATGGCTGGCCTTTGCTGATGAAATGGTAATCAGTGAATTATCAAAACGTGCTCATTATAGTCAGGGATTGCTTCTGGAAGGAGCTGACTCTGGACGTGAATGATAGTTTGGTAAAATGTAGCATAGCAGATCACTACCCCAATGTGAATGAATCAAGGCTTTCATTTACCTAACTTTTCATTTTTCTGGATTGGAATTTCAGATTTTGGAACAATATCATTTTAAAAAGCAACAAATTGGTCTGCTTTAACCATTTTTATGAGATACTAAATTCTGGGGGAATAGGACTCGATTTTCAAAAGATTTTTTAAAGACACATTGTGGATTAAGTATATCACTTTTTGTTATTAGAAATTTAACAATTTTTATCAAAACCCAGCATGTGGTTTATATTTTATTTGGTTGAAGGTCAAATGAAACATTTGTTATGAATTTGTGTATTTGTATTTTTAGTTCTATGCTGTTCATTTGGTTCTTCTAACTTCTGTGTCATTGATGAGATTTTCTATTTTTTCATTTGTTTCAAGAGAATTTATAATTACTTGTTGAAGCATTCTTATGACGGCTGCTTTAAAATTAACATAGAAATATTCCAGCAGGATTCATCTTGTTGTTGGTGTCAGTTAATCATTCTTTTCTCATTCAAGTTGTAATTTCCTGATCTTGGTATGATGAGTGATCTCTAATTGTATCTTCGACATTTTAACTATTAACAAGATCTTGCTTGTATATAAATCTTCTATTTTAGCCAGCAGTCACCATCTTTAGGTTTAGCACACAGGTCCTGGTCTACTTGAGTGCACTGTGGTTTCAATGACAAGTTTAATATTCAGAAACTTTGAGGTGTTATTTTGGCATACTTGGTTTATCTTGTGGCCAGCAGGGGGTGGGGTGCGCCTGCTGGTTCCTGTTGGTACCCCTTGAAGGGATGCAAGGGTTTTCCCTAAGCCAGGCTATTCCATGTCTCTTGATGTGGTAGAGGAATCTTCATGGGGTCAAAAAAACTTTCAGAGCTGAGGCCTGTTGGGGCATCCTTCCTCTTACAAGTACCCCTTCCCAGCCTCTCATCTCTTTGGGGACAGGGGTCTCAGGCTCAGTGGAAAGAGCACAGCTAGGTTCGCGGTGGGAAACACCCTGTGTGGAGATGCTTTCTTCTCTGGGGTGTGAGGATATAGGTCACCCTGCTGCTCGTGCTTCCTCCCTTCTTGGGGTCCTGAGGCAGTTTCCCTTCCTCCTTCCACTTTTCAGAGTTCTTTTTGGGTTGCTTGTTCTTCCCAGGGTTTATTATTGTAATTATCAGAGAGGACCAAGAAGAAACCAATCTAAGTTGATGTGTTTGAAAATAATTGTTTCTGTTTTGAAAAACACTTATTTCTGAAAGCCTTATAAAGCCTGATAAAGTGTGATGAAAGGAAATTAATTTATGATTATTTTTACATGAAACTCACCTGCAAAGCACAGTAGAAATAAATATGAATTTACATGATCATTTTATTATAAAGTGTCACTATTGCTACATTTGGTTCTGAAGGTAGAACATGCCTAAATGTGACCAATTTTTTTCTGACTCACATTTTGAAAGACCAGCTAGATATTTCTATTCATATCCTGGAAGCTAGACGTCCTAATTAGGATGGAAAGAAGTAGTGGCTTATCCCTCAGGCAATCAGATGAAGCTCCCAATCCTTTTTGAAGAAATTCTGAGACACAAAAAGTACACCTACAATTTCAGAGGTCAAAAGTCCTCCGTGAAAACAAGTCCTTTCAGGGGTTTACAAGAAACCGTACTCTGCAGAAATGGAAACTTTTAGCAAAGAAAACACATTTTTAAAGGTCCTGTAAGAGATCTTTATTATATGCTAAGTGTTCAAAGACAAATTCACAGTCAAATAAAATACGTTTCTTGGAGAGGGACATGTTTTATATAACCACGACAAAGATTAAGTAATATATTAAACTAATAAAACAGGTTAGCTATATAGTAAAAATATTTGCACTTGGTTTTAATGATGAAAGTAGATTTTTTTAAAACATTAATTTACACAGTTACGTTTAACAATAAATAAATAGTTTAATGATTAACATATATGCCAAATATGATCCCTGCCATGTCTCAGTGATATAAGAGAAGCCCAGTACTATTGATACTGCCTTCATAAAGCTTCCTGAAACTTCCTGTCACTGGAAGTCATGGAAGAACCACTGATTAATAAGGCAGAGAGAATATATTTGTGGATATTAGTACTCTCACACCATTTACCTGTCACATTTCAAAAACTTCCCAAACTTTTGGTTTTCTAAATCTGCGTTTTCAGCCTAGAGAAACATAGTCATGAACTTACATGGGAAATATGATTCAAAAGGTGCATTTGCTTTGCAAGATGCGGAGTACCGTATTTGCCGGCATATAAGACGACTCGGCGTATAAGACGACCCCCTAACATTTCCACTCAAAATACAGAGTTTGTTATATGGTCGGCTGTGTGCGATTTTGCGAGTGTGGTAAAATCGCATAACAGCAAAATCGCATAACAGCCGAGCATACACCCAGCAGCGCTGCTGATGCCTGAACGGTATGTGGAATGAAGTGGGCGGGCATCGGGAGGCCACTATGGCACGGGGCAAGCACTATGGGCAGTCTATCTGAAGTGTACCTGGCGTATAAGACGACCCCCCACTTGGAGGCATATTTTTCAGGGCCAAAAAATCGTCTTATACGCCGGCAAATACGGTAATTAAGATGGATGTTTTTATTACTACACCTCCAGTGTGCCAATTACATTTCCAATACTCATCATTTATTAATATTAAATGAATTAAGAAACTTTTCAATGGCCCCTTTTCTTTCAAACCCAGCTGCAAATTATTTGACCTCAACTTTTAAAAGCCATTAATTCTCTCTTTTTCTTTAAATTCCCTATTCTTTCTTTTATTTCCAAGACACTCCCCCCACACAAGCACACCTATATTTTATTTGGCCCAACAAAGTGGTTAAGCCAGCTTTGTTTTGAGGACTTCCATGGCCTCCTCACTGGCTCTGAATACCAGCTCCTCCTCGCTGGCTGCGTTAGCCTAATAAGCCTTGATAATTATGCTTCCATAGAGCCTAGCCCCAGGGTGTTCAATTAATGTGAACCACCAAGGCATCTGCTTGCAGGGGAGTTTTTACATAGCTCAGAAGATTGTTGAGAATAACAAAGGCTAACGTATCATCGGAGCATCAGAGAGCATGTGTCCTAGTCAATTGATCCAGTTGCTAGATTTGTACAGACAGATGTCCAACATAATGATTTCCAGAAGTGGCCATTTATAATGTGCAAAAGAGGGAGATTTTATTTAAAATAATCTCACTTTTACCCTCTGCTTCTCTAGAAAATGACTAGTCATTAATTTGATATTTTCTAAATCCTTATACATTTTAGTACCAAGGATAGGGCCTGAGGATTATATGTATCTTTTCCATTTTTTTCTGTTAAACCTAACGGAATGGGGTCTCCACCAGAACATAAGCTCCCAAACAGCAGAGACTTTATTTGTGTTGCCTGTTGGTACCATTCCTGTGAAAGAATTGGATGGACAAATCAGTCAACCAAGAACTAGAAGCAAAGTTTTTATTTATTTATTTATTTACTTATTCATTCATTCATTCACTCATTCATTTTTTTTTAATTTAAATTTAAGGACAGAAGGTTAGCTCCACCCTTGACAAGGATAGAAGCAATGTTCTAATGCTGAGAGATAGAGTGAGGTTTTTCTGTTAGAATACATGACATCAGGACCAAACTATTCTTCCTCGATTCAAACTAAAAAAAAAACCACCTGAGATTTGTGTTAATAGAAGATTTTGAGTAAATTGCATCTTGATTATTTTGTCAAGAATACACCACATGCTATCTAAAATTATTTTGAAAATTGTTCACCTATAAAATATTATTTAATAGTCATTTTGGAAATATGTTTTTATTTGAATATCAATTTATATGAATGGGAGATTTATAACTCTCTAAAGACATTTACTATAAATAAATGTATCTGAGTTTAGAAAAAAAGATTTAGAAATGCTAACACTTTAGAAAGACTAATGGCATTTTTTGAGACATTGATAGCAATTTCACTTTCTTATAAATATCTTACAAATATAAATTCCTTTATGGAGAAAGTAGTTTATAATTTATAACGTTATTTATTATTGACATTTATACTGGCAGGACATATGTATTTTAAAACTTCCCTTTATAAATACATTAACATTTCCATTGAAAAAAAGATGCTTGTTCTTGTCTAAAACTGGGAACTAAATAAGTTGTGTGAGTAACAATCTTACATGAGTTGTACAGAAAATCAAATTTGATTCTAGCCTTATACATACTTTCAATGTTTATAATGATTGGTGATACTGCAACAAAAGATAAGAAAATCAAGTGTCCTTCTCTTCAAACTCGTTTTGTATCCCACAAGCCGCATATCTTGATGTTCAAAGGAGTCGTTTGTATTCTCAAATACATTTTTAACCAAGCACATAAGAATTGAAA